CGTAGAGGTGATCGGGACAAAGCGTCTGCGTCGGAATGTTTTCGGCCAGATCGGTAAACGACGTGGATGTCGTACTCTTGTAGCTGAAGCGCCCAACGGGCGAGCCGGCTGGTGGAATCTTTTAACGAGGAGAGCCAACATAATGCATGATGATCTGTAACCATGCTGAATGGGCGCCCGTAAAGATAGGGTCGAAACTTGCCTATGGCCCATATGATGGCTAGACACTCTTTTTCGGTGACTGAATAGTTGGCTTCTGCTTTTGTGAGTGCACGGCTGGCGTAAGAGACGACGTACTCATCAAATCCAGGTTTACGCTGGGCGAGCACAGCACCGAGGCCAACTCCGCTAGCATCCGTGTGTGTTTCCGTCGGGGCAAGAGGATCAAAATGTCGCAGTATAGGAGGTGACGTAAGAAGGTGGCGGAGTGTGGCAAACGCATCATCACAAGCTGACGACCAACTCTTAGAAAGGTCGTTGTTGCCGGCAAGAAGGTCAGTCAAGGGCGATATGATGGAGGCGAAGTTGCGAATAAAACGACGAAAATAAGAACATAAACCGAGGAAGCTGCGAAGTTCTTTTAAGGTCTTCGGCTTAGGAAATTCGGCAACGGCACGGAGTTTCGTCGGATCCGAAAGAATGCCATCTCTAGATACAACATGGCCCAAAATTAGGAGTTTTCGAGCGCCGAAGCAGCACTTCTTCAAGTTGAGCTGTAGACCGGCGGCGGCGAGGCAAGTAAGCACTGTCTCGAGCCGCTAAAGATGCGTTGTAAGGTCGCTTGAAAATATCACGACATCGTCTAAATAACACAGACACAGACATGTCTGCCATTTCAGGCCACGGAGGATGTTGTCGATCATGCGCTCGAAAGTGGCAGGCGCATTGCAGAGCCCGAATGGCATGACGTTAAATTCGTATAAGCCATCAGGTGTAACAAAAGCCGTCTTGGGGCGATCAGCCTCAGCCATGGGAACCTGCTAATAACCTGAACGCAGATCTAGTGACGAGAAGAACTCTGCGCCTTGTAAGCAGTCTAGGGCATCGTCTATGCGAGGTAGCGGGTAAACATCTTTGCGCGTGATCTTATTCAACCGGCGGTAGTCGACGCAGAATCTTATTGAGCCATCTTTTTTCTTGACTAGAACAACTGGGGAGGCCCACGGGCTGTTAGAGGGCTCAATAACACCTCGCTTCATGTCAACTCCTTCCGCGATTATGTGACGCTCAGATGCTGATACCCAATACGGACGCTGGCGTAAAGGAGCGTGAAGGCCAGTGTCGATTTGATGAGATACTGTGGAAGCACGGCCCAAAGTCAGTTGCTGGCGATCGAAGCTGGCGCGGAAATGCTCGAGGACAACGATGATGTCGGTGCGCTGCTGAGCCGTAAGGTTGGTGTCGATGCAGCACGAAATTGCGTCGGTGAATGACGGGGAAGAGGATGACGCGCAACAATCAACAGCGTCAATAGGTAGCGTAGTCGAGTGGTCAGGAACTACACGTGCACTCGAGGGATCAATGTCATCGGCAAAGCCCAGGCACTCTCCGCACAGTAACTTGGAAGGCGAAGGAAACGGATTTGAAACATAAATTGCACTTGATTCATCGTGAACATTCAGAACGGCAAAAGGAATCGGGAAGCACTTGCAGCGAACAGCGGTTCCAGAAGGCGTAAAAAGAACAGCTGAGCTACTAGAGACGTCACAGGAAAGCGGAACTAGGGCGGACGAGAACGGGGGTATCGAAGTGTCGGCGGCAACGAAAACTTTTCAGGTGAAAGGGACGAGTCGAGTGAAGCAGCCACCGGTGGTGCGTGAGCTGTTGGTAGCGCCTCGGACACTTGCTCCTGAACTGCTCGCTGTATTGATGGCGCTAAAGTAGATGGGGCACCTTCGGAGGTATAAGGCACGAGGAACAACTGGCGTGCGACCTCATCTTGTACAAATTGCTTGATCTCGAAAAGCAAAGTGGTGTGGTCTAGAGCAGTGCCAGCCGACGTTAAAGCGGAGATCGTTGCACATGGCGCGCTGGCACGACGAGTGGTGTCACGCTGTTTCCAGAGCTCATCATAGCTCTGACAAAGTTGGATCATTTCCGCTACCGTTTGCGGGCTTTTGGCGACAAGCATCTGAAATGCGTCGTCAGTCACGCCTTTCAATGTAGTGGAAAATGTAGTGAAGAAGATGAGTGCTACTCAGAAAGGCAGGGGGTATGACTCAGTCGGTGAAGAAGACGACGTTTGGTTGGCTGGGGACTCAGGCTAGTTCCGCCATTACCGCTTGACGTGTCGTGACCGCTCTCCTGTTTTATAAATGAGTGCCACTCTAAAACGCCTCATTATACATGTAACATCTCTGTAGGTGGAGCGACCATTCGTTCAATTCCACGTACAGGCTTTCCACAGGGCTAGTGGGAAGAGCACCCGTAGAGAGGTGGATGTCTATATGATGAACAGCATCAAGCATTTTAAGGGCAGTAGGTGTCGCAGACTGATATGCTCTTGCCCCACAATGTAAGCGGGTACGCATGAGGCTTTTATATAAATTTATTAGACACTTCTAGTCAATTCCCCACGTAGTGCATGACAACACTTTTAGAATGTTCATGGCTTTAATGCACTTGTTTTTTAAATACTAGATGTGTAGTATGAAGGTTAGCTTGATGTCCAAGATTAGACCTAGGAATTTGTGTTCGGTATTAACAGAAAGACGTTGCCCCTGCAGTTGAATACCGGGTTCAAGATGAATGCCTCTCTTCCTGGAGAAGAAAACGCACGTGCTTTTCTGTGTATTCAGTCAGAACCCGTTTTTTTCTGCTGATTCGGAGACTTTGTTCAAACCAAGCTGAACCTGCCACTCACACATGGCCAGATTGCAAGATCTAAAGCCAAGCAGGACGCCGTCGACATATCTACAATAAAACATAATGCAAGAGATGGACAAGTGCAAATAGTTCATTTTGACAAGAAAAAGTGTGCAAATAAGTACACCACCTGGTGGCACGCCTGTTTCTTGAACAAATGTTTGGGAAAGAACGCTGCCCACTCGAACACGGGATGTCTGGTTTGGCAAGTAACCTTCGATTATAGTAAACAATCTGCCACGCGTGTCAAGATGGGGCAGGTCTCCTAATATTACAAAGCGCCATGTTGTATCATATGCCTTTTCGATATCGAGAAACACGGAGAGAAAGTATTGTTTATGAGCGAAAGTGTTTCTTATCTGTGCCTCGATACAAACAAAGTGGTCGGTGATGGATCTACCCTCTCTAAACCCGCTTTGGAATTAGTCGAGCAAATGGTTTGTTTCAAGGAAATCTACAAGTTGGCATTTTATCATTTTTGTCTAAAAGTTTGCACAGGCAGCTTGCAAATGCAAAAGGCCTATAACTCAAAATTGAAGAAGGGTACTTGCCCTGTTTCAAAATTGGAAACAATAGCCTCTTTCCAGGAAGTAGGAATAGCCCCAGAGAACCAGATAGCATTGTACAAACCAAGTAAGGTTTTTTGCGTTTCCATTGGTAGGTTTTTTAACATTTTATGCACCACACGATCAGAACCGGAGCAAAATTACTGCAGAAGTTTAGTGATGTTTGGAGCTCAGCTAAGCTGAAAGCTTGATTGATTGATTGATATGTGGCGTTTAACGTCCCAAAACCACCATATGATTGCGAGAGACGCCGTAGTGGAGGGCTTTGGAAATTTTGACCACCTGGGGTTCTTTAAAGTGCACCGAAATCTGAGCTCACGGGCCTACAGCATTTTCACCTCCATCGAAAATGCAGCCGCCGAGCGAGTACCTTAGCCACTAGACCACCTCGGCGGGGCATCACTAAACTTGTACTTTCAATTCTTCTATGTTAGTGATTTCCGAGTTACCTCATAAACACAGAAGTGCCACACAAGTTGGATAAATCCCACACCTCGCCAGTGGTTCACTGAAATTGAACTATCGTCATTATATGATTATGTTTCATTGTGTAGTCTAACAGAAAACCATCATCATAATGGGGTATATGCCACAGAAATTAAATTATTTCTGCACCTGACCGATGGTCCACAAAGAATGAACTATAGTCATTAAACGTGGATGTGCCAGACAGTGAACCATCAAAAAAGTATCATCACCACTAATAGGTATGAGTCACAGGTATCTTGCAAGTTCTAATACTCTCAATTGAAGGCAACAATTATCCTCACAAATGGCTGCGAAGCAGTGAGGGCGACCTGAAGACCCCCAGTGCATACAAGAGAATACTGGGGGGCTGAGACAGGCAACGGTGGCTGCGACGAGACCCCGATGCAATAGACGGTCTACACCAATGATGATACGCCCATAAACTGCAAGAGATTTGCAAATGCTTGGTTTCATCGCAAGCTTCTATCTCTGCAGTTTGAGATCAGTGTTGAATCCAACTGTCTGCTCTTTAACTCAAACCTCTTTGTGCTGAAAATCAACACAAAAACAACCTAGCATCACCTAGCTGAAGGCTAGCAACAATCTAAAAGCAACCTAAAAAAAACTTTCGCCACCAATAATTGGTGTGCACCACCTAGTTTGCCAAAGCCTTGAACCGTGCCTCTTCTCCATGTCACTCTGAACACAGAGGATGCCTCGTTCGGCTCTTGAGTGCGCACCCACGACATTGTTGACATCACACAGCCAAAAAAAAAGAGTTGTCACAACAACAGCCTAAACCTACCTTCTTTCGCAAATTAGAAGGGCGAGAAGGCAGAGTGAGAAATCCAAATCAGCCAATATGGGTTCTATAGCCTGCAACTTCCTTGCCGCAGCACTTATTTGTGAAATTCTTGCGGCAGCTTCCTCACATTACACAATATGCAATTATTTCGACACAAATATTCTACCCTGGGTTGTTTACTGCAGCTACGTTCGTAATATTACTTCCACTCCCGAAGTGTGACTCAATGTCGGTGTATGAGTTATATTTCACATTCATACCTGTAGTGTCATGCACGTGTCAATGAAGAAACAAAGTTAAAAACTTTCAAAACATTTAATACATGCAGAACCATTGTATATCAAATAAAAGCTTACAAAGTTTGAATGGTCAAAATGTGTAGAATAAAAGTGGCTAAAAAAGTGAGACGCACACTCTAATGTGCAGTGCATCTAGTGCTTGAAGTGTTACTACGCCTTCAAGTTAGCTCCACATTGATGAGGTGCAAGTCACACATGGTGAAATATACCTGATGTCTGAAGCACTTTTACAGGAGTAGAGCGACAAGAGGCCCCGGGTGTGCCTGTACATGTTTATATACATGCATTTGCCACAGTCGTCCGTTTCTACAAGGTCTTGCATACGACTGTAGTGTCTGCGTTGTTCACAACCCACGGGTGGCCCTTGACTTCGTCCAGAGATATGCGCTCAGACGGGCGTCTCCTCAGAAGCTGTTGTGATCAAAATCAAGCACAGTTCACAGACAGTTCAATGAGGTAGCTACTAAGATTATACTTAGATATCACTGGCACATGTAAGAAATCAAAGATTTATTAAATGTTAAGTGATCTCTACATTTATAGAGAGGGCATATTAACTTTTTTTTTTTCAGAAGGCATACATACTAATGATACCCTTTTTCTCTCTGTCTACTGCGTTACATGGTAGTTTAGCACATCTAAAATCATAGAGCACCCTAAACAATATGTTAGAACTTTGCAAAGCCACTTTTTATTTTATTTCTGAGACATGCTCTAACTGCTCTACCAGTTTTGCTGCAACATCACTTGTTACAACAAAGAGCATCATAAGGGGCAATCGAAAAAACTAGGGCATGGCAGTATAACTTCATATCGTGCTCCCACATAACAGTACTTTTTTAGACACTGCCCAACTGTCGCAACTGCCCAATTTTGAACACCTTGGGTTCTTTAACATGCACTTAAATTTAAGTACATGGACCTCACACATTTTAGACTCCATCGAAAATGCAACCGCTAGGGCACTCCGAGACTTAGCAGTATGTTTCTAGAGTTTAGAGAGGAAGTGTTTTCACTTTACCCACACACAAAAAAAAAAGCTTGAACCATCTCCTCGAAGGGAACCCTGATGGGATGCAAAGCAGCAACATTGCACACGGGTGTCGTAACGGGTTGAACTGGGCGAATGCGCGTGCTCCGGTAGGCGCTGGAAGATTCGTTTAAAGCGATGGCTAGTGCACGTCTTGTAGGTGACACGTACAGAAATGTTTCAACGCGTACGTTAGGCGTATGTCAGCTTTATTGAGCTTGAACCGATGAGTTCGCGGCGTAGCAAGCAGCAGACACAAGCAAACGGACGAGATGGCAGCTCCGGACGCTGGGGCGAGCGCACGGCACGCAAGAGAAAAAGTGTTGTCAGTGCACACTGTGAGGGGAGCGTGACATCAACGCGCAGCCGCGGCGGGACCTACTTGGCACCGTGCCAGCACCTGGGACGTGCAGCGCGTTCGTACGGAGGGACAGCGTTACACAGGCTAGTCAAAGAGCTGCTTCGCATCTAGAAAATAATACGTACATAGAAAGGTATTCAGCCAGTATGTCTTTAAGACTTGCCCCGGTTAAAGTGCCTTTTGCGAGATCTACATACACTAACAAACTAATGTGATAGCGTTAAAGAGCTCGTTTCGCAGAAATTCCAGTGTCGGCGTCGTTGGTTGTGGGCGAAAAATCATCATCTTATGCATGACCAAAAAATAAAAAAGGACAGAAATAAAATAAACATGATAAAAAATCCTGGAGCAGAGTGGGGCCCAAACCAGGGCCATTTGGGTTCGAGTTGGAATTGAACTCGAGTCGTTTGTGTGGCAAGCAGATATTCTACCACACAGCTACACTTCTGCTTGTGAAAACAGTGAGAACTTCATTTAACCATATGGTGTAGTAGCGCAAATTCACGGGGACGAAAAGGACAAGAAAACACGACACTCGCTACACTCGCAACTAATTTTTATTTCAGAAGCAGCACTTCATATATAACCCATAACCCTAGCGACACAGAAAAGAACTACGAACACTGAATCATCGCCAACAGAAGCTTTTGCGCAGACTCAAGCGATAGTACACGGCAGTTACGCTTAGACACTTTAAGATGACATAACCAAAACAGCCCTGGGTAACATCAAATAAAAAAAAAACAAAAAATTTTGCGGGAATTCACACGTGTTTGAAACAAAATTTTGAAACGACAAAAAGGAGAGTATGACACATGCAAACACTGATCTCAATTAAGCCCTTCGAGGTAGCTGGCTTCTCGGTTACTTAACGAAACCGATGACTGACTAATGTATCCTTTTTTCCTTTTTTTAATGTGAAAGGCTTCGACAATTTCTCTGGTTAGTTGGTTTCCATGACGGAAGACTACGGTTGTGTCACTGTACAGTGGTGAGCAGCCACACTGGGAACAGTGTCTCTTTATGTGAGAACGAATGCCAGTTCCTAATGATCGCTTGTGTTCCAAAAGTCGGGTGTTCAAACAACGACCCGTCTGGCCGACGTATACCTTTCTACACGTTAGCGGCAAGCAATACACGACTGATAGGCTACACTTAACAAACTTTGTTGTGTGATTTACCGTACAACTACCAGCATTAGTGTTTACTGCTATGGAAACTTTACGGTCTAGTTTGGAACATATTTTACTAAGCTTGTTTTACAAACCGAAACACTTTGAGTGCAAGCACTTTAAGGTTTAAATCTACAAGATATGTATTACAACATCCCGCATGGTCCGCTATTGTCAAGTGTAAAGCAATGTATAACAGAAGAAAACGATGAGTTAGAGTTTGTGAATAAGTGTGGTGTATCGGTGGATGCCTTTCTTGAATTGTTAACCTTTTACCTTAGGTCGACATTTGTTATATGGAACAAGGCTATGTACCGACAAAAATCCGGTATCACAATAGGCTCGAAAGTAGCCCCGGTTTTAAGCACAATTTATTTAGCAAAAATGGACAAGGCAATAGATTTAAACCTTAAAGGGCTTGCACTCAAAGTGTTTCGGTTTGTAGATGACTTTTTGGTTTTTATTGAATCGGATGGTCGGGATAAAATGGTCGCAGAAGTTTTGAAAGTCTTCAAGAAAAATAGTAAAGGGCTTGAATTTACTCATGAATTACCAGTCAATCACAAACTGCAGTTTTGGATATTGAGTTAGATGCCACAGCAGAACATGTATGCTGGTCATACAATCCGCGAACGAAAAAACCCTTACTTAGCTACCGATCGGCACATTCTAAAGTTGTAAAGAGTGGCATAGCCTTTTCATGTTTGAGAGCAGCCTTAACAAAGTCATGTCCAGAAAAGATTAGCGAAAGCTTCAACCAACAAATTATCAGGCTAAAAAATGCTGGGTACGAAAAACACGTGTTGTGTAGATCGGCTAACAAGCTGATTAGTCACGTACGCAACAACTTTCGTAAAAAAATGACAAGTAATGAAAACAGGAAGAAGATAGTGTCATTTCCATATGCGCACAAGATTGCCCATAACTTAAATAACGTAGGTAATCGCTATGGCCTAGAATTAGTTTTTTCGGCACCCAACAAGCTTAGTAAAATATGTTCCAAACTAGACCGTAAAGTTTCCATAGCAGTAAACACTAATGCTGGTAGTTGTACGGTAAATCACACAACAAAGTTTGTTAAGTGTAGCCTATCAGTCGTGTATTGCTTGCCGCTAACGTGTGGAAAGGTATACATCGGCCAGACGGGTCGTTGTTTGAACACCCGACTTTTAGAACACAAGCGATCATTAGGAACTGGCATTCGTTCTCACATAAAGAGACACTGTTCCCAGTGTGGCTGCTCACCACTGTACAGTGACACAACCGTAGTCTTCCGTCATGGAAACCAACTAACCAGAGAAATTGTCGAAGCCTTTCACATTAAAAAAAGGAAAAAAGGATGCATTCGTCAGTCATCGGTTTCGTTAAGTAACCGAGAAGCCAGCTACCTCGAAGGACTTAATTGAGATCAGTGTTTGCATGTGTCATACTCTTCTTTTTGTCGTTTCAAAATTTTGTTTCAAACACGTGTGAATTCCCGCAAAATTTTTTGTTTTTTTTTTTTATTTGATGTTACCCAGGGCTGTTTTGGTTATGTCATCTTAAAGTGTCTAAGCGTAACTGCCGTGTACTATCGCTTGAGTCTGCGCAAAAGCTTCTGTTGGCGATGATTCAGTGTTCGTAGTTCTTTTCTGTGTCGCTAGGGTTATGGGTTATATATGAAGTGCTGCTTCTGAAATAAAAATTAGTTGCGAGTGTAGCGAGTGTCGTGTTTTCTTGTCCTTTTCGTCCCCGTGAATTTGCGCTACTACACCATATGGTTAAATGATGTCTCACCAACTAGCCCAGCTCTCAACCCTAGTGAGAACTTCCTCTGCTTGGAAATTCAGTGAAAGTAGTTTACATGCTCCACAAACACACGCGTCTTTGTTACATGCTTCACAATACAACATGAAATATTGCAGTAATAATGCGTGGTATAAGCCACGGGCATCAGAATATGTGATTACCAAAATGGCTCCGTGGTTGAAAGCCGGTACCCCACTACAAAAGGCACACATGCTACTGCACCTATTCCCTTAAGACCACGTATAGTGGGTGCATAGCTAATTCAAAAAGGTTACATTCAAAAAGTGTGCATAGTAGCAAATTCAAAAAGGGTGCATAGCAAATTCAAAAATGCACACTAGGAACAGGTATTTGCTATCGTCCCACTCCTGAAGATGAAGCTTTATTTATCCTCAAACAAGGGAACAACCGGCAAAACATGTAGTGCTAACAACAAAGACTGATAAGTGATGTGTTTTTAACTTGGCGCAACTTTTAAGACTGCTTGCCATTGCCTAGGTACATTGCTAGGCACTGTCATGCCAACTATATGCTCATTCTGATATGCTCAAGCACATCAGAATGCAGCTGCAACACCCGGTATTGAACCCACAAGTGAGCTAAGTAGCGCAGTGCCATAGCCGAAGAGCTACTGCGGCTGGTAGTCCAACTGTCAGGTTTATTGTACCTTGGCGAGTTCACCACACAAGACAGCCATTGGAACTGTACTATACTACTCTTGAACTCTACAGCCTGCCTTCCCCCATCTCCAGCTTCTGGTAAGACAAAGCGACGAGGTTCCTAAAAGAGGTCATGCCATGGTTATCCACGAATTTGTGTTTTTCAGCAAAAGCTATAGGTAGAGAGCCTATTATACCTATACAGGTTTAAAAAGTGGGCGTAAAAGAATATTTCAGGGAAAAACAAGCCCGAGAGGAGGCCAGCTCTAACCCCGCCCATTGCCAGTGACTGCCGTTTCGCTATCGCACCTGTGACGTCATGAATTGAAAGGAGCAGAGCCCTCGCCTTCTTTCGAAGTTTCAGTCGCTGCGAATTGTTCAATTTCAGCACCAAACTGAAGGAAGCTGGAATATCTTGATTTGACGCGCAGCTTACCATGGAACAATATCAACTGCCGAATGCAGGCGCTCGCTTAGCCAACTACTCCTTACATCAAAGCTGGCGTGTGCCCCAGTGTAGCCCGACTCACAGGCAGCTCGCGTGCTTATAATATTAAATTTTAAATTGAGTACCTAAAGAAATGCACTAAAGCTCAACCAGCTTATTAGCAAATACCTAGGGACTAACCCACATGACGCAGATTATGATTGAAAATTGGGTGTCATGGCAACATTAAGCTAACTCTAAGCAAATCACAAGCAAAGGTTATTGCTCTGCAAAGCACTAATTTCACTTCATCCCATTCAGCGGCGGCGACTATGTTTTTGTACGCAACTCGTTTATGCTAGTTGTGTCAACTTGTAGGGAAAAGAGGGCTAGATGCACGTCTCATTGAATGAACTGAACCTTCTCCATATCCTGTACGTCTTGACTAAATAATGTAATTTTGGTTGGAGTTTTCTCTTCAACTTTCTATGCCAACCCAGTGCACTTCTGCCAAATGTTCACCTTTGATTGAGTATGTCGTGTACTCCAGTGTGCTGCGTATACGATCATTTTGGTGAAGGTACTGCGATGTTCGACTAGTCGTTCAGCACACCACACTTCAGGACCAAAGCCAAACTACCATTTTGCTTTCCTCAAAATGAGTGTGCGCAACCAAAAACAACTTACATACACAATTGAAACATGACAATTCAATACTTTCATGTAACCATGGAAAGCAAGTTACTGCAGAAAAACTAATTAAATATTTAATTACACACTAATAACAGTAAAAGACAAATTCACACAAAACAACACATTGCTTCATTTTCTTTCTTGGAATGTAAAATTGAGTGCCTTGGAATTATACTATGATAATTTGACACATATGTAGACAGTGCATCATACCGTATTTACTCGCGCAATGAACGCACTTTTTTTCTCGTGAAGTCGAAGCAAAGTTGGGGGTGCGTTTATTATGCGGGGCTATGTTTATTAAAACTTTTTTGGGATGAGCAAAGAATCCAGTCATGCAAAAAAAAAGTTAGGCCACTGAGCCTTTGGCAATTTATGTACGCATACCCTGTTTGGAAACAGCCTCTTTGTTGCATTTTACTCATCTTCGGTGGTTGATGACGCCATCTTGAGCAAGCTGTACCGGCATCGCCCACGCATGCCATAAAAGCGTTTTGCGACCAACTTTTTTTGCAATCATTTAACCGCAGTGGTATCTGCTCTGATCTCAAGGGGCACCCAGAAGCGTGCGCTACGACGTGCACTTGGACAACATCGTGGCAGCCTCACACGACAACCACAATGATGCCGTTCACATTGTAGCAAGTTACTAACATTGTAAGAGGCTACCCCGAAGTATCAAAACAAACAGTTGATAACATATTAATGACAAAATACAACTGCTGCCTCACTTCTACTTGAGAAGTTTCTGTACGTGCAGAGACTGAGCGAAGTGAGAATTGAGGGTGCTACGATGTTGTGGAAATTGTCAAGATCTTATTTGAGCGACGAACGATTTTTTCTGGTTTTCCGAAAACCTGCGACGCGATAGCGACAATAAATCTTGTTGTCGTCGCTATAAAATCGCGTGCGTGTCGTTGGGCCTTAAAGTTTCATACTTGCAGGAAGCGACCGTCGGTTGGCGCGGGAAGTTTCATGACCTTCGCTCGCTTTCTGCTTGCAACAGGTATGGAGGCGCCAGGTGCGGTTAGTGAAACTGCAGCGGATGAATTTAGGGGGTGTGTTAATTACGTGGGGAAAAAGATCTAAATTTTGACGACTGAAGTTGCGGATGGGTTTATTATGCGAGTGCATTCATTTTGCCAGTAAATACAGTAATTCATGCTTGAAGGCGTTATTCACTTCAACGTACATTGATTTAAATTTATGCATTTGATTTGTTTCGACCTACGTCAATTTAAAGTCAGTGTCTCGGTTCATTTCAGCACACAGCGGCTCAGTTTCAATTCACTGAATTCACATTCATTATCCCTCAAGGTACTACAGCATCTCTATAGTGCCACTCGTTAAGAGGGGAAACTACGCTCAAAAGAACTGGTTCATGAACAAATGTGAACAATATTTTAACAACGTGTGTATTCTCACGTGTTGATTCCAAAAAGAGACTATTTTTATGGGAGAAAAATAATTTATAGCATGCTCTAACGTCACTGTCTAAGCTTGCTTTCTGGCTCAAAGGAAAATTAACATCCGAACAGAAATTCTTACTATAATGTTCAAGCACATGTAGTTGCCATTCTGATCAGTTATAATGTATTAATGTATAAAATAGACAAAGCAAGAATTTGCAAACCTGTTCTGAGGCGCAAGTTTGAAAACAGTTTTGGGTGGATTTCTGGCTTTCACGGGCTGCATCCTTTGTTAATGTCCCTAGACATTCGTGTTCATAATGCCAAACATTATTTCTTCTCAACTGACCGGCCTTGCAATGCTCTTACCTGAATATAAGGATGGCCACTGTTTATTCACACTGAAAGGTGCTCACCTTGCCAATTAGGTCCCTTGCCTCGGCGCTTACGTATGGAGGGCACTGCACCCTGCACTCGCGTATGCGCCGGTACGTCTCCTGCGTCGTGGGCGACTCAAAGGGGGGCTTCCCCACCAAGAACTCATAGATGAGAATGCCGAGGGCCCAGTGGTCCACCTTCTCGTTGTAGGTGGCACCCTCAATCATCTCAGGTGGCAGGTAATCCAGTGTGCCGCACATGGTGGCCCGCCTGCGACATAAACGCGTGCTTTCACATTTATGCTAACACAGCCGCGTGTTTGTTCTTTCCCTCGTTTTTTTTTTTTTTTGTCTAGCGCTTGCACTCAATGAGTCGATACCATTATGAGGAACATGACTAAATATTTGCCACCACACTGGGTGCCTGTGCTGACGGCATAGTGGTTGGAGTGCCTGGCGTCTTTCTCCACAAACCAATGCACAATAGATTTGATTACCTGGTCAAGCGCTTAAGCACAGTTTTCCTTTTTTGACCAGTTTGTACGCATTTTTACTGATGTTATTTCTGTGATAAAGTGCCACCAAGCAATTCTCGATAGACTGCTGTACAACAGATCGCAGTGTAAAAGGATTTAACAGCCAGACGAACGCACCTGGATGAAGGTGCATGCACGGACCAGCCGAAGTCTGCAATCTTAATCTCGCCATTAATGCCGACGAGAAGATTTTCCGGCTTGATGTCGCGGTGGATGACCTTTTGTGCATGGCAGACCTTGAGCGCATTGCAGAGCTGGTAGATGTACTGCACACAAGAATATTGAGAAAAGAGAAACCACATCACAAGGTGCATACTTTAGATCAGAATTTCTTGTGTCACTTTTTAATTGACAATAAATAAGCTGAACCAGGACCCATGTACAAACTGGTTCTTTCCAGGGCCTGTTTGAAGTCTTTGGCATTTTACTTTATTATCTTCCAGTAACTATCAGCCCAGTGATAACAGACTCTGGCATATCACCCTCCACAAATTTGTGCCTACCACAGCATGAAATGACACGTGACACACCCGCCTGCAACTTCACAACCAAAGGCTCGGCTATGTTCTTACAGTGGCAGCTCTCTTGTCAGTGAAACGCCTGGCCGAAGTAAGCTGGCGGTAGAGTTCGCCCTGAGGCGCATACTCCAGGATCAGATAGACCCTCGTCTCATCGTGGAACCAGTTGAACAGGCACAGGATGTTCGGGTGCCTGAAAAACATTTTGCAACAACAGACAAGACATGCTGCTGAAATGACAAGTGCCCACGGATCTGCCAGCTCAAGCTTTTTAACTCTGCTATCACTCCAAGTTTACGCAGATGTGACATTTCGCGGCATAATTCTTTACAGACTGCAAAACTCCTCTATTGCATTTCATAAAATAAACTACGGAAAAATAATTACACCGTCTCCCACTAAAGGGAACCATGTGGGTATGCGAAGCAGCACTGGTGTTCACTTGCGTTTCCATTTGTATGTGTCAGTGTATGTTTCATTTGTGTGTGGAGTTGTGTACATGTTATGTACCGCTTATGTTGCCCCCCCCCCCATTTGTGTGAATTACTGTGTGTGTGTGAGTGCCGCAAAGTGAACACCCAGCGCTTCTAGGAGAGGGCAACGGAGCGAGCATGTGCAGCAGTATATGAGCGCACAGCTGTGGCAGAGAGATAAACGGGAGAAGAGAAACAAAGCGGAAGCAGCACTCAGCCACCTCCTCCTACGTTGCACTCACATGAAGAGGGGGGCCTTGGCGACTGTTCTCTCCCCCACTGCGCATGCGCCTACTGTCCCCCTTTCCTCACACAAGGAGATAGTTGGCGCATGCGCACTAAGAGTGGTCATGCCGCATGCTAAGTGTGTTGGTATTCTTCCATTGCACCTCCACTGAAACCTACCCAGTGTCCAGAAACCACATTGCCGTTCATGAGTGTAGCAGCAAGATGCCTCAGCCTGTTGGGCTACCATGGCAAGAAAACTAAGGAACATGGGGCCACAGGTTAGAATGCGTACTATTACAATGATTTTGCTTATTAGTCGAATGCAGGAGCAGGAGCATATGGCAGCAAAAATTAGGAGCAAATGTCAATAAACCAGCAGATCAAAACCTTTTGAGAGATACAAAAAAAGCAAGCTTCAAATTCATAAGCCACCAGGCTAAGTTCCACAAAGGCACGAAGAGTAATTTTGCAGGTCTTTGTAAAAATGCCAGTTGTCTTTGCAATATGAGACACTGTTGACAGTCTTCAGCAAAATGTTCCCAGCAACACAGGCACGGTCACAGGCTTTAGATTAAATTAAGGATTTTACATGTCGAAACCAAGATATGCCGTAACAGGGGAGAGCAAATCAATTTCGTGAGATTATCCAAAATACTCCTAAATTTAGGTTAACATACGTGCCATTTACATATCCATGGCCCTCACCCTTATCAAATTCCATCCCTCCTGAAACTAGACAACCATGGCCGAAAGTCACATCTGTGTTCAAAATATCACCAACATGACCAAGAGACCTACACAGGAGGTGACACACCAGACCCCTCCCCCCCCCCCCCCCCCAAAAAAAAAACATTTTTTTTTCCACCAAGGCACAGAAAGTGAAAAATAACCCTTGCAAGAGGGTGCCCCTCCCGAAATCAAGTTGGTGCCCCCCCCTCCCCCCTCCTTTCACCCCCTGAAAAAAATTTCTGGCTATGCGCCTGACTGTTAAGCTACCTCAGTGGGTGTAACAGCTGTGGAAGGAAACAAAAATCGCAGCATATTCACTCTCAACGTTAGCTAGAATTCGTTCCCTTTTTTTTCTACAAATTATGCCACATACCCAAATTTATGTTCACTGGCTGATTGGAGAACTGCTAGCTGCACAGTTGCAGCACATGCCTCAGTGGGAATTAAAAGAGGACCTGCAACACCTTTTCAGCAGGGTTAGAAAACACTGCTATCCAGTAATCAAGACTATGATGAACACGTGAGGCAAACAATATAGCGCGGCATGCAGCCAGAAATTTAGAATTAACTCACAACGTAGGCTAGAAATCGTTCCCTTTTCTTTCTACAAATGATGCTGTATGCCCAAATTTATGGTCACTGGCCGATTTGAGCATTGTTAGCTGCACAGTTACGGAGGTCACCGTAGAAGACAGACACGCGGCCGTCTGCGTGATCACATTGAAGGTAAGTTGCGTGTTCGAAGAGAAAAAAGAAAATGTGCTCAAGGTCCTGACATGCGTGATGAAACTTGTTTCTACCGTGCCATCCCTGCCTGCTTCGCTTCCACCGTCCTTGTCGAGACAAGAGAAGAGAGAAAGCAATTTAGTGTGCAACAAATCTTCGACTTTGCTCATACTTCACAGATTCCAAAAAATCTAACGGCGGTCGATTCATAAGGCAATCTACCCACTTTGTAGAGCTATTTTATGGTTACTTGTAAAAGTGTTGCAGGGCCACTATAATCAAAACAGGTGCTTCAGAGCACAGAAGTCACACAAATGTGACAAACAGCAGTATCAATGAAGTTCTGCTGTGCTACCTTGGTTTGGAAATACCTGCCTCTACACTCATTGACAACTTTTCTACACAGTGCAGTGGAAGCCACAGAACCAAAGTGCGTGCCTGCTCCTGTGCCAAAAGCTAGTACTCAATTTTACTGATAATTTTCTTACTCACCTTGTTGAAATGATCGCTGCTTTATTTAATGAGACTTTAAAACTTTCAGGAAGTTATAGGTAAAATAGTTATTGTTCACTTTGCAAGCAACTCTTTTTCTTTTCATGTCTTGGACAGCACCACCTCTTCAACATGCCCTTCTTCCGAAGTAAACACAACGCCCACGAGGTAGTAGGTCAGTGCGCGGCCACAGACGTGCTGTTCAGTACTCCAAAAAAAAAAAAGATAGTTGTACTATGACACTGAAATGTACACTGAGTCAATGAATTGTTTCTCCAATTTACATGTTTTGTGAAATGTTTTTGTAAATGCATATTACGCCAAGTGAAAAAAACCGATTTTTTTCTAAATGTCATTTTTTTGGTTTTTGATCATGGGAAATGTGCACTTTTTGCCCAACATTTTGCTGCAGAAAGCTTCTGCCTAGTTTTTTTATTTTTTTTTTATAAAGAGTTACAGGCAAAAATGTTAGACCATCGATCACTTACGAAACTGCGAGTTTCGTCTGCATCATAAGATTAGCTTGATATGTGGTATTTTCTTCGTTATTTAGCTATCATATCAAGTGCTAACATAACAGTGCTCTAAAAGCATTGTCAACCCCTCAATTTTTATCATAAAAGTCATAAACTTCTAACTAGTTAAACACATAACATGGTACATGTGTTGTTCGTGCTCAGGCACTGATATGTGAGCTTGTCAACCATCAAATTTGCTCTGGTTGACGCTGCCTGTCATTTCAATAATGACAGGAGAAGAACATTTGATATTAGAAGCAAATTTGAATCAAGCCTGGCCTCTGCACTGCAAAAGCTTGCCTCAATAATAATTAGCACCTCAGCCTGAAAGCACCGTGGTCCTGGTACTGACCCTGCAATGTCAGCTACAAAACAAAAACGTAGAGTTGCCACTCGAGCAAGGGCGCACAGCAGTAAAGTCCGCGACAGAAGTGGCTGCACATATTGAAAATTTCAGGACTCCTGATTATCTTGGAAGAATGCTAACATCATCTTAATACATAAGAAAGGAGATGACAAGGACTTGAAGAATACAGGCCGATCAGCTTGCTCTCCATAGTACACAAGCGATTTACAAAAGTAATTGCTAACAGAATTAAGAAAACATTAGAATTCAATCAACCAAAGGAACAAGCAGGATTTCGAACAGGCTACTCAACAATTGACCACATTCATGCTATCAATCCGGTAAGAGAGAAATGCTCAGAATACAGCCAACCACTATACATAGCTTTCATAGATTACGAGAGGGCATTTGATTTAGTAGAAATATCAGCAGTTATGCAGACAGTGCGGAACCAGGGTACTGACGAAGCATATATAAACATCCTGGAAGAAATCTACAGGGGATCAACTGCTACCATAGTGGTTCATAAAGAAAGCAACAAAATAACAATAAAGAAGGGTGTAAGGCAGGGGGACACAATCTCCCCAATGATGTTTACCACATGCTTAAGGGAGGTTTTCAGAGGCCTAGAACGGGAACAGTTAAGCATAAGAGTTAATGGAGAGTACCTTAGTAACCTGCGCTTTGCCGATGACATTGCATTGCTCAGTAACTCAGGGGACGAATCCCAATTCATGATTACGGAGTGAGACAAGGAGAGCAGAAAAGCAGGTCTTAAATTTATCTGCAAAAAATGAAAGTAATGTACAACAATCTTGCAAGAGTGCAGCTTTTCAAGATAGGTAATAGTGCACTTGAACTTGTAAAAGACTATGTCTACTTAGGACAGGTAATAACTGCGGAGCAGAACCACGAGATTGAAGTAACTAGAAGAATAAAAATGGGGTGGAGCCCATTTGGCAAGCACTTTCAAATCATGACAGGTAGATTGCCACTATACCTTAAGGGGAAGGTATATAACAGCTGCATCTTGCCGGCACTTAGCTACAGAGCAGAAACCTGGAGACTTGCAAAAAGGGGTAAGCTTAAATCGAGGATGACGCAGTGAACAATGGAAAGGAAAATGGTAGGTGTAACCTTAAGAGACAAGAAGAGAGCAGAGTGGATCAGGGAACAAACCGGCGTTAAGGATATTATAGTTGAAATCAAGAAGAGAAAATGGACATGGGCCGGGCATATAGCACGTAGACAGGATAACCGCTGGTCCTTAAGGGTAACTAACTAGATTCCCAGAAAAGGCAAGTGGGCTAGGGGGAGACAGAAGATTAGGTGGGCAGATGTGATTAAGAAATTTGCGAGTATAGATTAGCAGCAGCAAACAGAGGACCGAGTTGAGTGGCTGAACATTGGAGAGGACTTTGTCTTGCAGTGGACATAGTCAGGCCGATTATGATGATGATGATGATGATTATTATCTGGTGCAAGCGATCTGCTTGTTCCCGTCTATTTTGTCGATTTTCTCAGAACTTACATTCCTGCTATTTTTCCGTCTGGGAACAGCCATAACTCTTTCGCTAATAAATAGTTTTTAGTAAAACTTGACACAATTCCTTATCAAACTAGTATGCATGCTTTAGTGCCCCATCGCTTGATTGCACGTTGGGCGCCCGTGTAGCGTACACGTATCCCGAAGGAGTACGGCCACTAGCGGGGGTTCGGTCTTCGCAAGCCGCAGGGCACGCGTTACTCAAGGTAACGCGAGAACACGGTACTGCTCAAGGTCGCAACACTTTATTGTCTGCAGCAACACCAAAACACAGTACAGAGCCCGTTGCAAAAGTGCAGCGGGAAAGAAAATGGGCTTACCCATGCCACGGGCAAGAAATACTACACAGGGGTGCCACGAGCACGTCTCCGTGGGCAAATGTGATTCACGGTGACACCAGGACAAAGGGCCCGGTTGCTCAAGCGAGGGCAAAAACTCCGTGTGCATTGGCTTCAGATAAAGGTGAGCGTCCGCTGCAGGCGCAAGGCGCTGTTGGCGAAGTCCGAATGAGCCCCAAACAAAGGGAGCCGACGAACGAAAAAGAAATGCGTGCTTACCTTATGTTGTCCCAGAGAGGTTCTCTCTCACTCCCGACACGCGTGCGCGAAACATCCCGAGAGACTCCGCGCACGGTGCCACAGTCAACATCCGCAACCAGGTGGGAGGGGTAAATGTCCCTCCCCACTCTCCCAACGCGGCAGACCGCGGAGGAGAGGAGAGTCATGTCGGGACATGAGAACGCAGAAAGAGGCGGCGGGCTAGCCTCGATTCCCACAAGGCAATGAACCTCGATGAGCAAACATCGTGCTACAATATTAAATATGGCTGCCTGTTATACTTATGTGCCGTTAGTACTAGTGGATAATTTCTGGGTATTCATTTAATATGAATTTTTTTAAAATATTCACGAGATCTCATTTGTTTTGGTTCACTGCACAGGCTAAAGCTTTTTTATGTCCCTACAAAAAATAATATTCTGAGTTACAAGTAAAACTTGAGTTACAAGTATTGGTGTAAGGCCCACTTTTAACAAATCTTTTTAATTATGGAAAGTTAACAAAAAATGGGATTGTTTATAATGCTCACATGTGCCTAAAATGGTGTGCTTTATATTGCAGACTAATATTCTGTATTGATTATTGCTTTAAAAAAATAATGTTTTGACACTTGGCCTCGTACCTTAACAACGCAGGCGAGGAAAACGCGATATCTGTCGCAAGCTGCCATATTTATAGATAAAAAGAAAAACAGTGGCGCTGTCATCGCTGTTACGGAAGAAAGTACATTGGATGGCGTAACAAGCCTTCCAATGTCTCATTGTGTATGATAGCCACACTACATTCAGCGTCAATAATTAAGCTCACCTGAGATGAGACTGGATCTCAATCTCCCGTCGAAGTTGATGCTCCACGCCGTTCTTCTGAAGCTGAGACTTGAACATGACCTGTGCAAAGAGCATCACGCTCAGTTTGGTTCTCATTCGATGGACTTTACGAAACACACAACAGTGCAGTACAATTTGACAATACTGAACGTCTTGAGATGTGCCGATCTGTCAATTACACAAGTGTCGCCATGTAATAGCGATTGCCGCTGCTCATGCACCTTTGAGAATACCGGAGCACCCGCAATCATTTCTATGTTCACAGGTTTTACAACACCATTTTGTGATGTTCATATTATGAGATCAAATGTGCTTCGTTCACTATAGAATAGGGGAAAACATCAAAGAAGCTTTATTCCACTAAGTCAGTAGTTACTGCTTGACGTTATAATTATATTAATACAAAGTAATCGATAACGATGCCAAAGAAAGCAAATGAAATAGGCTTGTGTGAATAATAGTAGCGTATTCAAATTCAAATTAATGAAAATTTTAAAGTATTCGCAATGAATCAATAAATGCATAGTATATTAGTCCGCACGCAACCGCCTGTAAAAATAACTTCACTGTAGTGTAAAGGTGCTAAGCCGTGAAAGCACCTGTCCAAGAGAAATCCGCTCTGCCCCCCTTCCCCCTCAAATTTAAAGTGGCCCGCAACACTTCTTGAGCATGGTCAGAAAATGCTGCCAATCAGTACTCGAGGCTAACGAGAACACGCAAGCCAAATATTATAGCGCAGTACACGGCCTTGAATACACAATAAATTCTCAAAGTCAGCTAAAAACTGCTCTCTTCTCTCAGCAAATGATACCACAAGCTCAACAATCACTCGTCACAACCATTGTATCAGCCACTGGCTGATTTGAGCATCAGACGCATTATTATAAAGTCACAGGCGCGCTCAGTCATTACTAGGGGCTGCTGCAGACAGCCGCCACTTGCCTACAAGAATGTGCGCGAAAACATTGAAAAGTTGCACATTCGAAGAAAAGAAAAAAGCGTGATGTTCTTTCCCAGTGCCATCCCTCCTTGCTTAGCTTCCCCCTCTTTTGTCAGGACGAGAAAAGAGAATGCAACTGCAGTGGGAAACAGATCTTTGCAACTCCGCTTGTACTGGACAAATTCTAAAAATCACGAGGCAATAAGCTTCGTTACTGGATCCATTAAATGGCTACTTGAACAAGTGTTGCAAGGCACTTTTCAATGAACATATTATCCTCAAATCTGTTTATCCTTTTATTAAGCTTAAAAGCTTGTTATGACTGCTTATATGCTCGTAAGTAAATAAATTTTGAAATCTTACAGATTTTACAGGTCATCACTCACACCCTACTGAAAGTTAAATCCCGCTACTACTCAAAGTTGTTTTGATTTTTTTTGAACGAAAAAAATATTGCATTTGCATAGAGGTCCATTTCAATTTTGAAGAAATATTGTACAGGTTAGTTAGGTGAGGATAAATATGTCCATTTTTCTTTGTATATCATATATACTATTCGAATTCTCTTCAAAATTATTCTACTAAGATCACTATTCACTTTGAACCTAGAATTCACAACTCGCGCAAGCCTGACATGAGATGTTATTAGAAATAATTGAAATGTAGATGTGGAGAAAGAAAAGCAGATGAAAAGATAACTTGCCACGAGCAGGGACCAAACCTGTGACTTTATAATAATGCGTCTGATGCTCTACCTAATGAGCTACGCCAGCGGTCATCACTCCGTCCACTTTACGGGGTGTGTGCGTGCATTTAAACGCGAGAGTGTCAGTCAGCGCAGTCAGCAGGTATTACAGCAAGCGTGGAATATTTTTTGCTTGTTGGCATCCCATAGCGTGTTATCTTACTACATTATGTTAGTACATCATATTGTTCATTGTAAAAGCTGTCACAGTCACTCGAGCGTTATAAAATATGCAAATGAGTTTTATTGCAGCTTCCACTGTACTTTTACACAAAATAACCATACGTTACCACTACTCATTTAAACGTGGTAGCATAGCCATAATGAGAGCCTGTCAAGGCCACTGTCATCCATTTTTAGCTTTCTTTAGCAACGTAGCTGATCCTGCTGTGTAAATCAGCAGTTTTCAAAATATCCATGTATCAAATGTAGGCACATCACACAGAGACTAGTTTTACTGTTTACAGACTTCTCAACGATCAGTGCCCTGAAGCGCTGGTCATTCTCTGCATACTCCCATGTGCCAGAGCCTAGCATTCATGTCGCATTCCCGCACCGAACCACACCACTTGCTTTTAAAGGGGCCCTGAAACACTTTTTAAAGTAACCATGGAACGAATTCACCAGAAAAGTTTATTGTCTCACAATTTCAACGCCACAAAATTTTTAAGAATCCGTCCAGTGCGAGTGGAGTTACAAAAATTTGCTGTATGCTACAATTGCATTATCTCTTCTCTCGTCCCGACGAAAGCGCTACAAGCTAAGCAGAGAGGGATGGCCAAGGCAAACAAAATATGTCACGCGACGCCTCGTGACCATGAGGATTTTTTTTAATTTCTTTTTACGAATTTGCGGCTTTTTCAGTGTGATCGTGCAGCATCTCGTGGCGATCTCTGTAACAACCGAGTGTGCCATGTTCAAATCAGCTAATGGCTGATAGGTGGGCTTACTACGAGTGATTTTTGAGCATCTTCCGTCAATTGACGACAGAAAAGAAAGCAATTTTTAGCTGACCTTGATAATTTACTGTGAATTCCAGGCCACAGGTTGCGCCATAATATTTGGCTCACGTGTTGTCAGGAGCCTCTACTACTGATCGGCAGTGTTTTCTGAGCATGCTCAAAAAGTGTTGCAGGGCCCCTTTAATAATAAATAATTTGTACGGTTTTGCACCAAAACCACAATATTGTTGCGTGACATCAGGAACGAATGAGGAACCATCAGACGAACTATGAAGACAACGAAGGTGATCACACTTGTGTTGTCCCGCCATCTTGCCTGCAGCTGCCCGAGATTCTCCCTTGATATTTTGTAAATATATATCTTTCATTCATACTCTCAACCCCACGACATTTGGCGGAGATGTGGGCAACAACATGACATGAGTAAACTCCGAAGCGGCCAAGGTTTGGTTTTTTCCACCTTGGCAAGCCAGGGGCCCGCTCCTGTCGAAGCGACCACAACAACACAAGCGTGATCGCCTTCATCGTCTGTGATGGTTTCTCATTCATTCACGATGTGTAACATATACCCCCACGCCCAATTATGAGTGACTCCACAGACGAGGGCCCCACAAATTTAGACCATCTGGTGTTCCTCTTAACATGGAGCGAGACTTAGAGAGTTTTAATATTTGACTGTTCAGCAGTTTTTAAAAAGCTACGGCTATAAATTTTGCAAAAAATTTTAAAAATAGACGCCGGTTGCATTACAATTATCTTTAAATTGTAGATAGTGTTTTTTATACTTATTTTAGTCTTTCTTGTTCTTCTTGTTAATATACACTACCTGCAGATCACTGAGATTTCGCACAAGGGCAGCTATCGAGGTTTATTGAGGGGGAACTAAAATTGCGAGCAGACAACAAAAATCGCTTTTCTAAACTTGTCACTGTATCCCAGTTGCCACATATGAAGGTTATCTTTTGTACTAAAAGAAAACATAAATGCAGTGCCTAGGCTTCAGTTCTAGTTATGCAAGTACCGCTAAGAAACATGTGTGAGAATCTTTGTTTTTGTCAGAAAGCTCCCCAGAAAAAGGTACTCAAACTCGGAGACAACGTAGAGGTACACCCACATTTTCTGTCATATTGTCAAAGAAGAAGGACCAAAAATGATTTTTGGAACAGCGAGCACCCAAGGGCGACAAGTTTTCTGACAGGTAAAAAAAATTCTGCGTCAGATAATTGCAAAATCTCAAAATCAAGTTTTCCGACAAAACGAAGTCTCGCTCCACCTTAATGTGCATAGATGTCGCACGTTGCACGGGTCTTTAGCATTTCACCTCCGTAAAAATGCAACCACTGCAGCCAACATCATACCACCGACTTTCGAGTCGGCAGCTGAGTAGTGCAACCACCATACCACCACAGCGGACCACCATTTTCATTTAAAGCAGAAGCTCTTATGAGATCACAACTCGGGTCACGCGTGGTGCCGTAATTGTTTGTTCGTCGCTGCCGCCGGTGTCCGTAACCACTTTGCAGGAAATAAGACACAAAAAATCACAGCGTATCCACGGGGTGAATGATTACGAGTGGGCAAAGCTCCGGAGAGAATCATCAGTAAAGCCGTGAATTTTCCGTGTGTAATTCGCCCAGTCGATCATGATATAAGTACATCATGAGAAACACTGTGTGTGTATATATAGAAATGAACTTTTATTTGTTCTTAGAGAGGACGAATGGCTTGCAATGTCCCTTCATTATGATGGCTTTATGGTCCTTGAAATGAAGAGCAACCGGTTCCTGTATAGCAACTGCTCACTTGCCTCGCAAGTTCACACATTGGAATTCTGCCTGGGAGCATGCGCCCCCGCAGCCTTGAGCGATTTACGCTCCGCAGCCTTGTCCATCCAATGACTCCGAGCGTGTAGGCACTGGGCCGTGTGGCCCGTGATGCAGACAGAAATTAGGTGCCGTTTTCCACCTTCTAGAATCACTCAACAACTCCGAGCGCGCCCCAACAGCGAGGGAATTTTATTAAAATGCTCCCCCTAGCGTACGTCGCCGAACAAATGCATTCCACCAATGATACGTGCCATATGTGACATAATTCATATTACATCTCACACCTTTCATCATCAACTACAAGTACCCCCATGAAGTTTTAAATTTATCAAGTTTTAAGTTTATCAACTACAAGTATCGCGATCTAGTTTAAATTTTATCAAGTACAAGCATCATCAACTACAAGTACCGCCATCGGTGGCCATGTACTTCACCAACAACAAACCCCATGGGATGTACAGACCCACGCCCTAAGGAGCTTCGCCCCTAAAAAATCTAGCACCAATGACACAGTGGGGCTCGAATCAGGGTCCGTTGCGTGGCAGCCCATAGTTCTACCATTCATTCATGCCGGTGCTTGAGACTTGTTCACTAACTTTCCTTTGGCAGTCTTGACGCCAGGAAAGGAATCACATTAAAATGAGTAAAGTGTTTTATAACAGCAAAAGAACAACCAGGAGTCCGACAATGCGAATAGCGTAAAGAGTGGGTCCTCCAATGCTCTAGCCCACTACAATATCTTTTTCTTGATCAACTTATCACTGTGGCACATACCCACTTCAGCCATAATTCCTTATCATCATCAGCCACTGCATGAACAATTGGCACAAATTTCCTTGCAAATGTGTAGCAGATACCAAACTTCTAAGAAGAATGGCGAAGGATAGCAAAGCGAGTGTCGGCCTACTGCCCAGAAATTATTATCATTAATGCTGTAGTGGGTACCCAGCCCGAGTGCTTGCTGCAGTTATCCAATGAGTGTTTAGAAAAGGCTCTGAAAGGTCGCTTTCTAGCTTTCGCTGTGACTGTGCTGCACCTTCCGCGCAGGCCTGGCGTTTTTTCATTGAGGTACCTTTGCAGGGAAAGCAGTTGTGTGTCCCAGATGAGATGAAGCCATGTCAAGGTCAGAGTTTGTTTTGTTGTATGGAAGCAGTGAGCGTTGCATAGGGAAATTGAGCATGCCATCTCGGCTCTCATTCAAAGTGCAGCTTTCTCTGGGAGGGTGCACGCTATTCAATTTGACATTTCAACAGTTTGTATACCACACAGCTGTTTGCATAAAGGCGCACAGATGCGATTTCGAAACATTACAAAAGGGACGTTTTTCGTTTCCTCACTAAGCAGAATTATCGCTCTACACACACCGAAGTCAGTCAACACACATGAAATATTTTACTTTGACTTTCAAGTTTTTGTCGCTGAGCTTCTACAAGCCAGTCCCACCACAATGAACATTACCTCAACAAATCAATTCAATTTATTCTCCTTAAGGGTCTCCCGACGGAGACATTACATGAGGGGTGGGTTAACAATCTTTCACATGATTTGCAAACTAAATAGTTTCACAATGGTTATTTACACATTGCTGAAACAAAGATGGGCAGGTAATAGTGGCAACATCAGCAGGATAAAAATGATCATGTGAAAAAATTGTCGGACGTTTTTGTTTGGCATTATAGCGTTGCTATTTTCTTAAATATTGTTTGAGACTACTCTACACATTGAGTACAGGCAACCCGATCCAAACGATATGGCTATATCACCAACACATTCTCACTTAGTTTGGGAACTTATACCCGTGCCACACGGGCAGAAAAAATGGCATTTACCTCCTAATGCCTTCATATTGAATGTCATTCGCGCGGTGCCACACGGATGAATGATATGGCCACTGCTAGCGTCGCGAATTATTGTCTCCTTGTGACGTCGCACTGCAATGACATGTTACTGGGAAGTCACCCCCTCGATTCCACAACCAGCAGCGGTATTGATATATTCAATGCCTATTTAAACACCACAATACTACTTTTAAGGTACTCGACACCAGTGTTATTACTTATAGCAAGAATCCGAAAATATATAAAATTTGTGTCAGCACTCCTTTGATGCTGTTATATACACTCTAGCTATGGTGTTATCTATGCACCATACTACTTTGCTCATGATGCATTGACCTTGCAAGGTGCTATTTAGGAATAAACACTGGGCCAGTAAACAGATAAATTTGTTAATGAGCAATTTCATCAGTTATATAACTACCAGCAGTGCGCAAATAAACTGGGACGACCGTGCTCCTTAGCAGCTACATGTTTAAATGCAGGAAGTATTACTTGCCTGAGCTGGCATGCTTGTCAGTGCCAAAACACGGCTGCAGACAAGCTTCAAACTTACCTTGAGTGCCACGACGTACTTGGTTGTCTTCTCGCGTGCGAGGTACACATTGCCAAACTTGCCTTTGCCAAGTGGCCGACCAATCTCAAAGTCCTGGAGACACCACTTCTTGGCCAACCTGCAATGATAACAGAATGGTGAGTACAGTTGATGGGGGTAGGACATTGATGAACGAAGTCCAATGACAGCGATGATCAGATTTCATGTGCCGAAAGCGACACGATGAATTATGCGCACGTACCGAATCCCCAGATTCCTCACTTTGCGCGTAGCCTCACCTTGCGATTGTACGCGTGAAGCCATAAATCTCCCGACAAACTGCCTCAATATCAGCGAAGAAGTCTGAACAAATTCAAGTCGTACAGAACAGTCGCATATCGACAGTTATTGTGACCTAAGCAGCTAGCAGACGTTTTACGCCACTGAACCATGCAGAGGCGTCAGTTGAACAAGTGAAGTTTCGGGGTGCGACAGCCACACCCGGCAAATTGATCTAATGGGAAACACATGCCACCCGACTGCGCCGCTTGCTGCGAGAGAGACAGAGCTTCGGCAGAGTCAAAGCACACAAGACTTCTGAATACCGTCGACATTGGAAAAAGCAATATCTCGTCTGGGCTCGCAGCCGTATTCAGATGCAATTCAAGCAATTCACCTAGCTCGCAAAAAAGTGGCACCAAGCGAATGCCAAAGATCGCGAACGATGCGTAAGGACGCGCTGTTCTTGAAACGCCGTTAAATTTCTCCTATGTAGGACACTGCTCTTGTCAATTCCTTGACGACGCAATGTCGTGGCTGTCTCTGTAAGGCAGCTGAGTTTCGGAAAGCCTTTCAAACGAGGACATCGCGACGGAGCTCGTGATGACATCGGGCAAGAAAGCGCGAGCTCGCCGAGCGCTTCGAAATGATACTCACATGACGGTGAGAACGTTTTCTGGCACAAGGACGACGCGCAGAGAGACGACGAGACGCACCAGCAGGCGTCACGAGTAAGCAGGGCGAGTGAAGCAAGACTGCTATGCGCCGCAGAGCTACCACAGAACACCGAGCCACCGATTCGTTTGAATTTTCCGGCTGCCGCTGTCCGCTGCACCCGCGCCTATGAACAGAAAGTCGACGCTTGGGGACGCGCCAGTCGGTACCAACGAGTTTGTATCATTAATTAAGCATAACGCTTTGGACGTAATTTATTGATAACTAAAATCAATACAAACTACATGTAATAGCTTTAATAAACTGCATAAGTAAAAACAAAACAGGTTCGGGCTCGATGCAGGTTTGTTTCCGGTACTTGCACGACTGTGATTGGACTGATTGGCTCTATTTTCCCTCTTTCATGTCTTCTCACCAAGAGCGCAATCGCGACTGAAAAATGTAATCACAATTGGGCTCGATCGCGATAGAGCATGCGTCGTGCCTGTCGTGTCACTCTACCTGTTTAGTATCGTGTGATGGGCAGCACATCGTCAAACGGGTAGCTTTGATCATGATCAAGGCCGATCCGGATCCGGTGCGTCTACGCGGTCACTCTTGATCGCGATCAGGCTTGATCGAGATCAAGAATACCGCTGTATGTGCATCATGATCTGGCCGAGAGATTGCAATTTAATTGACGTCTGCGCTAAACTACATCCCGTTCAGGTTAGACAACGTAGCAGCGACGAGGATCAAGTTTGTCGCGCCCATTGCATATCTTTTTTTCCTGAATAGAGCTAATTGTGATCAAGAATGTGTTCCTTCTAGCATGCCTTCCTCTGGTCATTCCAATTGTACTGATTGATTTATCATCACCTTCAGAGTTCAGCATTAAAGGGGTACTGACACAAGAACCTTGGCCTCGCATTTCTCTGCCGCAATGCGTTGCTGGGGGCCTGTTAGTCATGACACGACGCGTCGTTTGCTTAAGCACGCGACAGATAATTATTGCAGGCCCCTCATTATCAATCAGTTTCGGTATGAGAGAGTTTCAATTTTTTTTTTCAAAAACTGGGTGCATCTGTCGCCACCTAGCGCGTGCAGTTCTTGGCCACGTCAACACACAAAGCTGTGACGCACTTTTGCATGGTTTGCATAAAAATATTTTTTGAATAAAAAACAGAACTGGAATGTCGCCAAACACATAACTTTCTAAGCATGCGCTCCAGCCGCCGAGAAATTTAAACTGCGGGAAGTAACGCAACAAAAATGACGGCTATGACGTCATCATAACTGGTTTTGTTAACCATAGCGCGGCGACGTGAGAGAAGTAGAGGTCACCTCGGGGCACGGAGCAAGGAAAGGAAGAACCTTTCCTTCCTCCGTGCCTCGGGGTCACCTGCGATGGTGTCTATAGCGCTATGGAGTCAGTCGCTTACGCAAACTTCAAAATGAATTTAACATACCTCCCAAGCTATATTCCCTGTTGATATCTTGCAGATGATATACGAATGTTCACAAGAATCGGCCCTGCAGGCTATCTCGGACCCGAAATTTTGTGCCAGTACCCCTTATATGGTGTGAAAGACAACCGCTCACTTTTTTCGTATCACAACTAAATTTTGTACTGTCACATATGACTTGCTAACTCTTGCAATTTTCTTGTGAATCAAATTTTCACAGAACTCATAGAGGATAGAGCTTATACAGTTTTGCCATGCTTAATCATCTTTCAGATAACCAAGTTAATATTTAGAAATTTTTGTTTGTTAGTGGTTGGTACCCTAGCCTTGATTATCTAGATGAAAAAGGCTCAGCTCAATCGAGCTTCAAGCACACACTAATTGGCACGCACTCCTTATGTTAAGAACTGGTGCATACCTTTTTAACACCTCATAAACATTACTGACAGTCTAAACCGCAGAAGCCCCTAATTTTAAAACTAGACTTATATCAACGTATCTGAAAATTGTTACCACTTTTAATGAAATCACCTCTCACTATCAGCACAGTAAAAGGGCCTATCCTCTCTTTCACCAAAGTTCGATATGTCTCATTCAGTTATATTTAGAATGCTCCAGACGGGTTCATTCCCTTCGCAGGGCTTTCTCAGTCCAATTTCTACACAGATTCGTTCAAGCTGTCCGGACTGTAATGAAACGTATTGTTCCTTAGTGCACATGCTTTGGCAATGCCCCAAGTTACCTAACGGCTATCTATTCAGTGAAGCCGACTGACTGGAAAGAGGCACTCTGGAGCCCGCCACTCCAGCCACAATACAGGCAATCCAGAAGACCAAAGAAAGGAGGGAACGTAACGGTGTTGCCAACCGAGACTTGGATGCGTCCAGCGGTATCTGTGGGTCCCCGATAGGGATTCCCGTATAAGCTCTTCAGGATCAAAGTTTTTTGTCTGTCTGTGTAGTTAATTGTCACCCTCGTATTTTATGTGCCTGCTGTGTATTAGGCTAAATGTCAATCGCAAAAAAAAAAAAAAAACTGCCATTTTTGTCCCATCGGAAGTGCAATTGTAAAGTTACACAACTTGAAATCCAATATGTATATAAAGTATGCTGTGCCACAAAGAAACAGTAATTACTACCTGTACTGAAAACAAAACT